TCTACCATACTGGTGAATGGCTATGTTGTCCATGCACTTGCTGAAGAATGAATATACAAACGATTAAGTCAGCAAGAGATAACTTGATTCGTAATTGAAGTCTGAGCTAGAGAGAGAAAAAGCAATGTAATGTGTGCTGTCTGTCAATTTGTTCACTTTGAAATGTAGGTGCTATATGAAATATCAGTGGCAGTCAACTGTGAGGAAGCCAAGAAACCTGTCTGCAAAAACAAGAACAGATTCCCCAATGTACTTCCATGTACAGGTAAGTTCATTTTGTAGAAGTAATTAGTATACTTTTAAATAGACTGTTAAGTTGAAAAGTGGCTTCTTGAGGCAAACACTTGTTAGCACACTCACACAGCATTGGTCTAACATGAAGGCGGGATGGGTGCTAAGGTAGTCTATGGAATATCTCCGTATGCAGCAAGAGACCATGATATGCGAGCAGATTCGGCGATTATTGTGCAAAACAAGTCTGCGTCTTGACCTCAAGACCATTCAGCAGGTGGCTTTTATGTCGGGTCTTCGGGAACCTGTTGTCGTGTATATCTAATAAAACCTAGGCTCGACATCCATTATGCTTATATATTGTGAATTGTGTCTGCAAAAATAGACTGTGTCTCAGGCATGAGACACAGTCTATTTTACAGGTCGTGATCAGGGCCTGTAATGATATGTTACGTGATGCGCGAGCGTGACCTTGAATCATCATCACATCATATTTTAAGTAAAAGGCGTAATGAGAATGCCCTCTGGCACGTTTACATCTCGCCCACGTCTCGCCCACAATGAGCGTTCGCGTATGCTAACAGTTTTGAAAGCCAATGTCGGGTTTTATTGGATCTCTATGTCCATTGTGTATTACAAAAACGTGGCATCAAAATTGACCAATGAATAGCTTAGTCCGGATTTCAGAATGAAATGATGTCATGTCGATTCCAATTGGCTGGCGCACGGGGTCACATACATTTGCATGCAAAGATATATCAGACATTGGACCAAAGACAGAGAGGATGATACAATGGGTGATACTCAGACTTGTGTTAAGGCTTCATTCCTACAAAACCATTTTGTATTTCAATTTATTCAAAAAAGAGTGGACTGCAACATAAGGCAATTAAAGGGGGTTGATACCATTAAAACCTTTTATTGGTTCGTAAAAAAAAAAAAAAAAAAAGGACCTTTAAACTGCATGGGATGTTAGAATTCTTATTTCTTTGTACCTTTCATTGGCGTAACTATGGGCCACGTGTCTCGTTTGAAATCTCGAATTGCACACAACAAATGTATATGTTACCTTCCTTGCCCCTTCCCCCCCCCCCCTTCTTTAAAAAAATAATAGATTAGCCCACCAGCTGCCCCACTGGAAGCTTAACCCTTGTTACGCCATTGGTACCTTTAGAAAGTTCCAGATCACGTACATTTCACTCCCATAGAATGTGCGATATTTATAAGTTATCTATAGGTGTGGTGGGTACTTGACTGCACCCTCGGCAACCATACGATATCAGTTCTTCCACTTGTTAGATGTCAAGTTTAACTGTTTTTACGCCCGTAAGTTAAAGAAATATTTACTTTCATTGGTGTAACTATGAGGCACGTTTCTCCCCCCCCCCACTCGATTTGAAATCTTGAATTACACACAACAAATGTATATGTAACCTTCCTTGCCCCCCCCCCCTTCCCCCTTCCAAAAAATTGGTGAACCCCCAGGTGCCCCCTAGAAGCTTAACCCTAGTTACGCTGCTAGTACCTTAAGGAAGTTCCAGATCGCGTACATTTCACTCCCATAGAATGTGCAATATTAATAAGTTATCTATAGGTGTGGTGGGTACTTGACTGCACCCTCGGCAACCGTACGATATCAGTTCTTCGACTTGTTAGATGTCAAGTTTAATTGTTTTTACGCGCATAAGTTAAAGAAATATTTACTTTCAATATTTTTTTGTATATGCATGCCCCATTCATTTTGGAAAAACAATTCCACGTTCTGATTTTTCCCTTGTAAAGTGGTTGCTAAGATGTCGACAAATTTGTATCATTCATGTGCCACTTTTCCGCTTAAGATTTCTAGACATTTATAGTTTCACAGGGTAATAAAATACTGAACATAAAACCCCAAGAGGCGATCTTTAACATACAAAAGATTTCTTTTTGCTACATTTTTTTTGTTTTGATAAAAAAACAAAATTTTTCAAAGCTGACTAAGCAGTGTTGTTGTAGTGTTGTTTTTTTTTGTGCTCGCAATACGTGGTACTAGACCTCAACAAGCCTGACTAATTTTCTAAGATCATAGGTAATTGCTCAATATATTTTGAGAGCATGTTAACAATGTTCAAATGCGGTCAATCAGGAGATAAAAAATCAAGAGAAAATGTGTTCACAAATCTGATTACTGTACAGATGTACAAATATAAATGTTGGGGAAACAACTGATGTTATGTTTTTGTCGAAAACAAAATGGTCCTAAATGTAAAACGACAACTGAGAAAAGACGGTTGTTTCATGAAATCATTGTTGCTATGTTCTCAGAAAACGTTTTTAAAAGAGTCTTTGACAAAATATACAGTGAATGAAGTAACTGGTGATACAATAACAACGGCTTCCAAATTAAGAGGTCTATAAATGATAAAATACAAATATATCTTTTTGAGTCGCATCATCAGTGTAAAACAGGTAGCCCTCATTATGTATGCAAATAACCCTAGGAGCAGAGTTGTAACATGCCCATCAGTGGAAAGTGCTGCTGAAATGTATGTGAGATGCTGATTGGTAAAATGACAGTCTTTGGATCTTTGCTGAAATGCCATTGTTGTCATGGAAGCTGTGTTCTCTGGGAGAAATGTTCTGTAATGAAAGCAAATGCTCATTGCTTCATTTAGACTACTTGGTCTATCAGCATTTAGCAAGCCAATACTTATTCAAAGAAGTAAAAGCCTCAATCAGTTATGGAATAAACTAAACCATTATTGTAATGATACAGAACCTCTCACAAGTAGGTCATTCTATACATTTAGGGTCCAAAGTCGGACATTTTTCCTATCCCTGTAAACTCTGAATTGTATCATTTGCCATTCAAGTGGCATTAAAAATGACTTCAAATGAATTAATATTTGTTGGGTAGGTCATTTGATTCACAGAAGCATTCTTGGAGGAAGAGTACACACATAAAGGAGTGCATCATCTATTACAAAATCATAGATGCCAGACATATAGGGACAGGAAAAAGTGAACCCCAAATTCATAGAATGTTGCAAATCTTCTATTATAAATAGTATTTTAAAAATCACATTTAAGAAAGGTAAACAAACTAGATTTTAATTTACAAATGTTAATCCATCATACTAAACCACATTTACAAACATACATGTATCATTGCAGTAGAATGCACAAGGTTTTCATTTCAACTTGGTTGTAACAGAGATGAAACTTTTCCGATTTTAATCGGAAATCCGACTTTTTGAATTTTCCAACGAAATTTCCGATTTTTTTACAGTGTGTCCCACAAAATTTGATTTTGTAACAATTTTTTTCACAAAATGTCATTTTATTTCAATCATAATTTCGAAGAAAAGTCGATGAAAAGTCGATGGAAATGGCACATTTAAATCATCGCGAACGTAGTTTTAATGTCTTTCACCAGTCGTTATTGGGTGTTTCAACGGTAGAAACACAAGGCATAACACTGATCGGAGCCTTCTCCGGCTGGACAAAAGGTTACACATTGACAGGCGACATGGAAAAATCACCGTGTCGCACGTGCGTGCGAATATATGCAATGGTACCGGTGTACGTACCGCACCGTACCGTCTGCTAGCACATGGCCGGTCGGGAACCGGTGGCCTTGTGAACGATCCAGTGGATAAAATCATTATGTTGTGCGATTTTCTGAGGTTTCGGATTTAGTTGTACAAAATGCAATGCTTTAAAAATCGTGATGATTATCTCAAGGATAGCGAAGAGAGCTTTAGCGAAACATTTCACTGGCATTTGTTGGACGAGAAAGACGATAATGCCTGATTTTTCCCCACGTAGGAATGCAAGTGGAGTAGTGGAGTTGTGTGGTTGAATCATGGACATGATTGAAGCACCATGAACGGTGCCCTTGTCTTTCGGACTTTTCCCTCGACTTTTTCAAGTAAGAAGTGAACTTCTTTATTGATGACTCCATTACTCTAACCGTTATTCAGGCATTTTATGCAATGAAAACACTGACCATTTTTTTTTCATCGTAAAATGTTGTTTGAATCGAAACTAAAGCAGGAGTTGGTGTCAGGAAATTGGGCATGAAGTGTATTGTACATGCATGTACATGTGTAACTGCAGTGCGGCCCAGATTTCGGACACGTATTTTGTTCGGCCTATTTTCCGATTTTTTTGCCATTTGCGAGTTTCATCTCTGTTGTAAATGTAATGAAACTTATATTAATTTGATAAGGCACTCAGAAAGCCCTGTGAAAGAGCCAACCAAGGGATGGCATATGATCTACTTTTAAACTATCGCTTCAGTTCAAAATCACACATATTTCATCCAGTTGCTTTTGAGTATTTACTTTTGTCTAAGGAAATGTTTACATTTTATACAGGAGTAGGGTTATATCTAATACTTAGAAACACATCATGCATTGACTTTGCATTTGCTGAGACTAATCTGAGAAAATTGAATTGCGTCTTGTGGTAATACTTTCCCTCTCACGTTTGTAATATTTTTAAAATGTACACTCTGCCCTATTTGCAAACAATGTGAAGGGTCATTCCTTTGCTCTCATTATTGGGCCACCAGATCGTATAGGGACAGGAAAAAGTGGACCCAAAATTTATAGAATATTCCACATACATATTATATTGTAGTATTCAATAAACTCACATTTAAGAAAGGCAACAAACAAAATTTCAATTAACAAATGTACACTAACCACATCCATGTATCATTGTAAGAATGCACAAGGTTTTCATTTTCAACTTGGTTGTACATGTAATGAAACTAATATTAGTTTGATGAGGCACTCGGAAAGCACTGTAAAAGAGACAACCAAGGGATTGCATATGATTTACTTTGAAACTATCACTTTAGTTCAAAATCACATATTTCGTTCAGTTGCTTTTGAGTATTTACTTTTGTCTCATGTACACGGAGGTGCAAAATCTTTCTCATTTGAAACTAAGTTGTGTTTTTTTTAACTCAACAATTTTCCCCATAATTGGAAATATTGAATAACAAAATCCAAGGAAATCTTTACATTTTACAAAGGAGCAGGGTTATATCTTATACCTGTAAAACACATCATGCATTCACTTTGCATTTGCTGAGATGAATCCGAAAAAATTGAATTGCCTCTCGTGGTAATATTTTCCCTCTCGTTTTTTAATAATTTTAAAATGTGCAATCTGCCCTATTTGCAAACAATGTGAAGGGTCGTTTCTTTGCTCTCATTATTGGGCCCCCAGATCTGTGATTTTATAGGAAGTAGCAAGTAGAGCGGGTGTTAAAAGGGAAGATGTTGAGGTATGAGAGTCAACACGTACGGAGAGGAAATACCTTAGAAATAAACCAAATATAGAGTATTGTTGAATGTCTTATTCAAGAGATGAACTTCAAGGTTCTTTTTGTGATAATTAACAATATGCAATGTCTGATGGAAGTGGTTGGTGGATACACTGGATAGCCCCAGTTTAATTAATCTGTCCTTACACTCGGTGATAGACCTTTACAGACAGTCCTGCAGCCACTACCAGATCACCACCTGATGTGAATGTGATGCCACGTGGAGAACCACATCCCTCGATCACACATCCAATGTACTTGCCATCAGGACTGTAATGCAGAATAAAACCTGTTGAATATCCACCCACAGCAACATAGATGCTGCCATCACTGTCACAGCACACACCAGTAGGGTGCCAATCCCCCTGCATGTTGCTGGTCATGTCTACTGAGAATACACTGGCACCATAGTAGTCTGCACAAACCAACCTTTTGTTCTGAAATGTTGTGTAGAAAAGGCGGTGATTGTACATTGCCAGATAACCTCCAACCATTGGAGCAGGCAGTCTCCTGATGATGGATCCATCTGGGTTGTGTAGAGATATCTCCTCCTCATCTTCATAACCCACTGCTATCAGATTGCTGTCATCCACTGCAAGGCATGTTGGTTGGCTGTCTGACCCTCTACCTGGTGTGAACTGATGGAGGAGCTGATGTTGCCTGTTGAAGAACTTGACTACTGGACCATCTAGAGCAAGGAGCTTGTCATCTTTACTCACTGCAGTACACCTTACATCATCAGTGAGGCCATTGATTTGTAGCCTTTGTGGGATAATAGATGGTGTATGTTGAATATTGGTCAGTGATACTGTGAATAGTGTATTTTTCAAATTGGTTAATACTATGTTATTGTCAGAGAGTGCTGACACATGTCGTAGCCGTGTATTTCCTAATTCAAAGTTCTTGATATCAGTCTTCAGTTCCCATTTCTCCTTCACACATGATCTTGCAGGTCTTGGTGATTGCTTTGCTGCAGCCTTTGGCTCTTCTTTCAGAATGAGTCTCCCAAGTGACCTCTCACCTTCTTCAAAGTCCATGAAAGTCAACTTGTCAGGAACCTGCTGTGGCTGTTTCCCTGTCAATTCACTGAGGTTATGCAAGAGTTTCTGCTGAAGTTCAAGAATCTCATAGCAACTTGCTTGATTCATGAGTCTTTTCACCTCATCCAGCTTGTGCTTTGTCTGGGTCACATCTTTGCTGTTATTGGATTGAGCTGCATCAAATGTTGTTACTCTTTTTTGATAAATCCTGTCAGTCTCTTTTAACAGTTTCTGCTCCTCCTGTCGGATCTTGGCAACCTCTTGGTCAGCTTTTTCTGAGATTTTTTTCTTGGTGTTTGCAAACATGATGTGGAGTTTATTCCGAGATATGCAAGTCTTCTCTATGGTGGTGTTCAGTTCTGTTTTGTTTTTACCAACTTTTGCAACAAGTTCTTCTACCTTTTTCTTACATTTGTCAAAAGCCACTGGAAGGCCAATGAGAGAGTGTTTGGCATGATCAAGTACAGAGCAAGTTGTACATATGACTTGCGCACATGTATTACAGTAGACATTGAGATTCTGATCTTGATGCTTGCCACATTTGGGAACTTCTTCTCTTAGTTTACTCTTGTACACTATCTCTCCTGATCGAAGTTGGGCCAGTGTGTAGATTTTGTGAGATTTCACGACAGCAATACGTCCATGTGCCTTTTGACATTCTTGACAGAGGAAATGATCACAGTCCATGCATCTTGAAATAGCCTGATTCTCCTCATCACAATTTTGACATTTGATGTCTGAGCCTTGACCTTTCAGCAGCTTTTCCTGCATTGTAACTTCCTCCACCAGAGCACTGAATGCAACGTTATTAGGGAGATCAGCAACCCCAGACCCTTTCAATGTAGTTTCACACCTGCACAGAGGACATGTCAGCTTTGTACCACGAGGATCTTGGCTCTGTCTGAGCTCTTGGAGGCATTGCAGGCAAAAACTATGCAAACAGTCCAGCAGTTTGGGCTGCCTGAAACGGTTGGTGCAGATAGAGCATTCCAGATGATCCACACTAATCTTCTCCAACACTGATTGAACTGTAACATTTGATGCCATCTTCACTGTTTGGTTAAAAGTGAAAGGGGTAGCCAGACCTTTTACCTGCAAATGAAGCACATCAATTGAAAGCTTTAGGATTTACATGTTTTCAAACTTCAAATGATGATGATGGTTGTAATAAGCATTCATAGGTTACAAAACTGCACCTGTGCAAACCGGCAAAATCAAACTTGATAGTGAAATTCCAACTCGTGTTTCTTCTCAAAAACTCGTCTTGGGCCCATATTTCACAAATGAAATATTTATAAAAAATATGAAGAGAAAAAAAAACAGAAGTCGTCTAATCTTGAACAGGTTGCGATCAGGATAAACGTGCAATCTCTACTTCACCAGGCAGAGTTTTGTTCTGTATTGCTACATTGTAGCCACGGAAGTTGCCAATATGCCTGCTGTATTTCAAGAAAAACATGGACATTGTGTGGATGGAGAAACTATTAATAGAGAAACTGACGGTTTTCAGGCTGTGTAGTGATATTGTAAATGGTAAATTTCATTCTCTAATCTTTTTCAACCATGCCAATTGCTTTATATCATGTTTGTGGAAATATAAAATTAAAAATTGGCTAAACATTGTATAATTTGTTTTTTCAATTGGCAAAGAATTTTTTTTTTAAATCAGTGGATCTGTAATCCAAAATGTAAAAAAAAGTGGCCTGAAGTGTTAGTTGTTTACGTATGATGAACTGAAAAATAGGACTTATCCATTGATAGCGTGGTTGGTACATGTAGGTGCATATGCATGAATTCAAGTTTCTGCATTGCGTGCTTCCATGAACTTCTTCAGACTGGTTTAACACACTGCTCATGCTGCATCAGAGAAGAAAACTGAAGTACAAATTGGTAGTCAAATGTCTGCACAGATTCCTATGCCAATTGTGGTTACATTTGTCAAGCTTATTCTCAACTCAACATACCTGAATGATGTCAGAAGATATTTCTGCAATAAATTTGGCTGTTTGATGAAGAAACTGCTGGAATACTATTTTGCAGCAACTAATGATGGCAGGTTCTCACTCTCTGGATTGACTTGAATGTCTGTAGGGTGTGACATTGCTCACTGCCTGTAAATTCCCAATTCTATAAATACACCAGACTGCAATGGATCACAGGTCACACAGTTGAACTTGTATTGCCTAGTCAACAGGTATTGTTATTTTCTGAACCACTTCAAAGGCCCAGTTTCTGGTACAATAGATTTACCTAGGGCCTGTTCCAGTCACTGTGTTACACTGAAGCGGAAACGTGAATTTAACACATGTAATATGTTGAACTGTAGGCCTATGTACATGTTTGTACATTTGGATGAAATTTCTGTAGCAAAGGGAATGTATGCAAATGTATGCATGACACTGTACAGAACATACAAGTTAGTTATTCCTGTCAGTCCCATTTGAAAATCTTTAAACCTAAATACAGCATAATGTATGGTGTCTTATACACGTGATATTCCTTTTCACATCTCTAAAGGAATGTTCATGATTATTTGAAGACTGTTAACAGTGTCTATACTGCATGAATAATTACAATTCAGAAATTTGATATGGGATCGCAATATGAGATATTTGTGAAGTTTTTCAAAAATGCTTTTAAAGTAACAGATTTTCCCAAAGAAGCATTGTTTCTTTTGGTGTCAACCTTGCAAAGTAAACAAAAACATGTAAATAATCCTTTTAAAGGTTTCTCGCATCGAAAGTGAGTTCATTATGGGTGATGCGTGTACTGCACATGGACTGCAAAATGCAGCCTGTGCCCCAGTGTGTAATGTGTTGGCCATACATGTACATAGCACCCGAGGCCAAATGCAGCCCTTGGGTGTTAAAAACGTCATATCCCACACAGTGGCGTGTCCAGCTTTTTATGTTGGGGGGCAACCGCACTCACACATCCCCCAACACTTGGCCTTCGTAAAATCAAAAAAAGGGGGGGGGGGCGCGGGCTGGCACCCATTATCCAAATGGGGGCGCTCTTCAAAACTGACCATTATTATGCATACTGGAAAATATATGCCGATTTTCATGGCTCATTGTAATGATTTTTGAGCTTGGTTTCTTTTTTTTCGTGTCAGAACTCTCTAACCATTTATGGAAATAGTTACTAAAAAAATATCTTTCAAAAAATCCGCTAGGGGCAGGGGACAAGGTGCCCCCATCCCCTCCCCTCCCCTCCCTTCCCCCTCCCCTCGTGATACACCACTGCTCGCACATCACATTAGTCAACAATTGTTAATTGTAATTGAAGTCCGAGCTAGAAAGAGAAAAAGTATTGTAACATGTGTTGTCAATTTGTTTACTTTAAACTTCAGGTGCTAAATGAAATGTCAGTGGCAGTCAACTGTGAGGAAGCCAAGAAACCTGTCTGCAAAAACAAGAACAGATTCCCCAATGTACTTCCATGTACAGGTAAGTTCATTTTGTAGAAGTTAGTAAACTTTTCAAAAGACTGTTAAGTTGGAAAGTGGCCTCTTGAGGCAAACGCCTGTCGGCACACTCACACTGCATTGTGAATTGTTCTAAATTGTAGGATTAATAGGTGCTAAGGTAGTTTATGTAATATCTCCTTGCACAGCAAGAGAGATTTGGTGATTATTATGCAAAACAAGACTGCATCTTGACCTCGAGATTCTGACCATTCATCAGTGGGTACCTTCTATATCGGGTCTTTGGTTTTGTCATGTACATCTAATAACACGACTATACTTTTATGTTATAAATTGTGTTTAAAAAAACAGCCTGTGTCAAAACGTTCTGTGACTTCGAATGATCATCACATAATATTTGAAATAACGCGTGTAATGTGAATGCCCACTTGTGCATGTTAACAGTATTAAAACCCAATGTCGGGTTTTATTGGATCTCTATGTCCGTTGCTGTATTACAAAAACATGGCATCAAAATTGACCAATAAACAGCTACGTCCAGATTTGAGAATGAAATGATGTCATGTCAACTCATGGCTGGCGCGCAGGGTCGCATTAATTTGCATGCGTAGACATATCAGACGTTGGACCAGAGACAGAGAGGGTGATACAATGGGTGATACTCAGACTAGTGTTCAGGTTTCATTCCTACTTAACCATTTTGCATTTCAATTTATTCAAAAAAGAGTGGACTGCAACATTAGGCAATTAAATGGGGTTGATACCATTCAAACCTTTATTGGTTCGTAACTAGTTTAATTGTAAATATGTAAGGGACTGTTAAACCTGATATGATGTTAGAATTCCATATATCTGTGTACCTTTCAAAGGTGTAACTATGGGGCATGTGTCTCCCCCCCCCCCCATTGAAATCTTGAATTGCAAACGACAAACTAGTTACCTTCAGTGCCCCCTTTAAAATAAGAATTGGTGAACCGCCAGGTGCCTCCCTATAACCCTAGTATCGCTGCTGGTACCTTTAGAAAGTTTCAGATCACGTACGTTTCACACTCCCATAGAGTGTGTGATATTCATGATTTATCTATAGTTGCAGCGGGAACTTGACTGCGCCCTCAGCAACCATACTATGTCGGCCCTGGCATCCAGGGGCTTCCTCTTGTTAGATGTCAGGTGTCTTGTTAACTGTTTGACATGCGTAATGTAAAGAAATATTTACTTTAAACATTTTGTTTGTAATTAGCATGCCCTACAAATGCTATTGTTAGCAATTCGTTTCGGGTAAAAAAATCCAAGTGGTGATTTTTCCCTTGTCACAAGCGGTTGCTAAAGTACCAAAAGAATTCTGAGTTTGGCTTGTTCATGACATTTGAAGTTTTCACGGGCAATAAAATACTTAACGTGAAACCCCACGAGGCAATCTTAAACATACAATAGATTTCTTTTGGCTACATTGTTTGGTTTTGATAAAAATGAGCACTTTTAAAAGCCGACTAAACAGTATTTTTTTAGTGGGTTTCTTTATTGCTCATGATACACTGTACCAGACTTCAACAAACCTGACTAATTTTCTAAGATCATAGTTACGTACTCAATATATTTTGAGAGCATGTTGACAACATTCAAATGCGGTCAATCAGGAGATAAAAAAATTAAAATAAAATGTGTTCACAAATCTGATTACTTGATAATCCCCTCTTCCATTATGTACAAGTATAAATGTTGGGAAACCACTGATACTATGTATTTGTCAAACACAAAATGGTCTTAAATGTAAACAAAAGACAACTGAGAAAAGATGGTTGTTTCATGAAATCATTGTTGCTATGTTCTCAGAAGACGTTTTTGAAAATGTCTTCGACAAAATATACATTAATTGAACTTACTAGTGATACAGTAACAACGGCTTCCAAATTAAGTGGTCTATGAATCATAAAATACAAATATATCTTTTTGAGTCGCATCATCGGTGTAAGATAGGCAGCCCTCATTATGTATGCAAATTACACTAGGAGTCACACATGCCCAGTGGAAAATGCAGCTGAAACTTATGTGAGATGCTGATTGGTAAAATAACAGACTTTGGATCTTTGTTGTCATGGAGGCTGTGTTCTCTGGGAGAGATATTCTGTAATTAAAGCAAATGCTGATTGCTTCATTTAGACTACTTGGTCTATCAGCATGTAGCAAACCAATACTTATTTTTTTTTAAAAAGCCTCGATCAATTAGGGAATAAACTAAACTATTATTGTAATGATATGGAACCTCCCACAAGTAGGTCATTCTATACATTTAGGGTTCAAAGTCGGACATTTGTTTTGTCCCTGTAACCTCCTAAATTATCGTTTGCCATTCAAGTGGCATTAAAAATGACTTCAAACTAATTAATATTTGTTGGATAGGTTATTTGATTCACACAAGCATTCTTGGAGGAAGAATACACACATAAAGGAGTGCATCTTCAATTACAAAATCGTAGATGCCAGACGTATAGGGACAGGAAAAAGTGAACCCCAAATTCATAGAATGTTCTAATGCATCCTTCTATTGTAGTATTTAAAAAATCACATTTGAGAAAGGCAAAAAAAAAATTCAATTTACAAATGTACATCCATCATACCGACCACATTTACAAACATCCATGTATCATTGCAGTAGAATGCACAAAGTTTTCATTTTCAACTTGGTTGTAAATGTAATGAAACTAATATTAATTTGATGAGGCACTCAGAAAGCACTGTGAAAGAGACAACCAAGGGATTGCATATGATTTACTTTTAAACTATCGCTTTAGTTCAAAATCACACATATTTCATCCAGTTGCTTTTGAGTATTTACTTTTGTCTCATTGACATGTAGGTGCAAGTCTTTCTCATTCAAAAATAAATTTCATTCATATAATCTCAACAATTTTTCCAATAAGTGAAAAATCGAATAAAAAATTTAAGGAAATGTTTACATTTTATACAGAAGTAGGATTATATCTTATACTTGGAAAGCACATCATGCATTGACTTTGCATTTGCTGAGATGAATCTGAGAAAATTGAATTGCCTCTCATGGTAATACTTTCCCTCTCGTGGGTAATATTTTTTAAATGTGCACTCTGCCATATTTGCAAACAATGTGACAATGCAAGAATGTGAAGTGCAAGATTTTCCAAAGGGGAAGTGGTTGAGGTATTAGAGTCAACACATACAGAGAAATAAACCAAATATACAGTGTTGTAGAATGTTGTTCACGGGAATGAATTTTAAGGTTCTTTTCCAGTGCTTATGATGTTCAATGTCTAATGGAAGTGGTTGGTAGATACCCTGGATAGCCCCAGTTTCATTAATCTGTCCTCACACACGGTGATAGACCTTTACAGACCATCTTGCAGCCACTACCAGATCACCACCTGATGTGAATGTGATGTCACGTGGATAACCACATCCCTTGATCACCCATCCAATGTACTTGCCATCAGGACTGTAATGCAGAATATCACCTGTTGGATGTCCCAACACAGCAACATAGATGCTGTCATCACTGTCACAGCACACACCATTAGGGTACCAACCCCCCTGTATGTTGCTGGTCATGTCTACTGAGAATACACTGACACCATAGTAGTCTACACATACCAACCTTTTGTTGCCATAGTTTGTGTAGATAAGGTGGTGATTGTGCATTGTCAGATAATCTCCAATCATTGGAGCAGGCAGTCTCCTGATGAGGGATCCATCTGGGTTGTGTAGAGATATCTCCTTCTGGTCTTTATAACCCACTGCTATCAGATTGCTGTCATCCACTGCAAGACATGTTGGTTGGCTGTCTGACCCTCCACCTGGTGTGAACTGATGGAGGAGCTGATGTTGCTTGTTGAAGACTTTGACTACTGGACCATCTAGAACTCGGAGGTTGTCATCCTTGCTCACTGCAATGCATCTTACATCAGTGAGGCCATTGATTTGTAGCCTTTGTGGGATAGGAGGTGGTCCACGTTGACTATTGGTCAGTGATACTATGAATAGTTTTTCACTTTTTACAAGAAGTGTTTTGGATAGTGCAAGTAATTTATTGTTGGAGGGTGCTGCAATCAGTGATACGGATGAAACTGCACTTAATTCAGTAATCTTCATTTCAGTCTTTAGTTCCCATTTCTCCTTCACACATGATCTTCCAGGTCTTGGTGATTGTTGTGCTGCAGCCTTTGACTCTTCCTCCAGAATGAGTCTCCCAAGTGACCTCTCACCTTCTTCAAAGTCCATGAAGGTCAACTTGTCAGCAACTTGCTCTGGCTGTTTCCCTGTCAATTCACTGAGGTTATGCAAGAGCTTCTGTTGAAGTTCAAGAATCTCATAGCAACTTGCTTGATTCATGAGTTGTTTTACTTCCTCCAACTTGTGCTGTGTCTGTGTCACCTCTTTTTTGTTCTTAGCTTGAGCAGCTTCAAACGTTGTTACTCTTTCTTGATAGATCCTGTCCATCTTTTTCATCAATTTGTGTTCTTCCTTTTGGATCTTTGCAACCTCCTGTTTGACCTTTGTAATCTCCTGTTGAGCCTTTTTGGAAAGTTTCTTTTTGGAGTTGGCAAACATGGTGTCCAGCTCATTGCGAAATTTGCATGTCTCCTCGATTGTGGTGCTCAATTTTTTTTTTCTTCTCTCACTGTTTTGGACCATTTCTGTGACCTTCTTCTTACATTTCTCTACTGCCTCAGGTAATCCAGTGAGTGAGTGTTTTGCATGATCAAGTACAGAACAAGTTGTGCATATGACTTTCTCACATGAGTTGCAGTAGACATTCAGATTCTGATCTGGATGCTTGCAACATTTTGGAACTTCGCCTCTTAATTTACTCTTATAGACTATCTCTCCTGATCGAAATTGAGCCAATGTGTAGATTTTGTGAGATTTCATCATCAAAGTCATGCGCCCATGTGCCTTTTGACATTCTTTACAGAGGAAATGATCGCAGTCAATGCATCGTGAAATTGCCTGATTTTCCTCATCACAGGCTTGACATTTGATCTCTGACCCTTGACCTTCCAGTAGCTTTTCCTGCATTGTAACTTCCTCCACCAAGGCACGGAATGCAAAGTTATTCGGGAGATCAGCAACCCCAGACCCTTTCAACATGGTTTCACGTCTGCACAGAGGACATGTCAGCTTTTTACCACTAGGATCTTGGCTCTGTCTGAGCTCTTGGAGGCATTGTAGGCAAAAACTATGCAAACAGTCCAGCAGTTTGGGCTGCCTGAAACGGTTGGTGCAGATGGAGCATTCCAGATGATCCACACTAATCTTCTCCAACACTGATTGCACTGTAACATTAGATGCCATCTTCACTGTTTAGTTTGATGTGATAGGGGTAGATAGTCGTTTTACCTGAAAATGAAGCACATTTATTGAAAGCTTTAGGATTTACATGTATTCAAACTTCAAATGATGATATGGTTGTAATAGGCATTTATAGGTTACAAACCTGCCCCTGTGCAAACTTGATAGTGAAATTCCAAATCATGATTCTTCTAAAAAAATATGAAGAGAAAAATATACAGAAGTCGTCTGATCTTGAACGGGTTGCGATCAGGATAAACACGCAATATCTGCTTCACTAGGCACAGTTTTGCTACATTGTAGCCACGGAAGTTGCCAATGTGCCTGCTGTATTTCAAGAAAAACGCGGACATTGTGTGGATGGAGAAACTTTTAATAGAGAAACTGACGGTTTTCATCAGGCTGTGTAGTGATATTGTAAATGGTAAATTTCATACTCTAATCTTTTTCAACAATGCAAATTCCTTTATGTCATGTTTGGTGGAAATATAAAATGAAAAATTGGCTTAACATTGTAAAAAAAAAAATTTCCATTGGCAAAGTTTTTTTTTTTTTTTAATCAGTGGATCTGTAATCCAAAATATAAAAAATGTGGCTTAAAGTGTTATTTGTTTACGTATGTGAACTGAAAAATAGGACTTATTCATTGATAGCGTGGTTGGTAGGTGCATGTGCATGAATTCAGTTTTCTGCATTTCGTGCTTTCATGAACTTCTTCAGACTGGTTGATTAAACACACTGTTCATAGTGCATCAGAGAAGGATTCTGAAGTACCGTACAAATTGGTAGTCAAATGTCTGCACAGATTCCTATGCCAATTGTGGTTACATTTGTCAAGCTTATTCTCAACTAAACATACCTGAATGATGTCTGAAGATATTTCTGCAATCAATTTGGCAGTTTGATGAAGAAACTGGTAGAATAGTTGGTGGATTCTCACTCTCTGGATTGACTTGAACGTCTGTTGGGTGTGGCATTGCTCACTGCCTGTAAATTCCCAATTCTATAAATACACCAGACTGCAATGGATCACAGGTCACACAGTTGAACTTGCATTGCCTAGTCAACAGGTCTTGTTATTTTGTGAACCCTTCCAAAGGCCCAGTTTCTGGTAACAATAGATTTACCAAGGGCCTGTTCCAGTCACTGTGTTACACTGAAGCGGAAATGTGAATTTAACACGTATGTAATATGTTGAACTGTAGGCCTATACATGTACATGTTTGTACATTTGTATGAAATTTATGTAGCAAAGGGAATTTATACAAATGTATGCATGACACTCACTATAGGCCTTTTCACACTATCTCCGTTTCGAACCGTGTTGAAACCTACCCGGATCCAACCCGGTTCGGCCCGAGTTCTTTTCAACACGGATCGGAGAGACGCAACGTTCACACTGCTCTTTACGGGAACGCCCGCTACGTGAACCGTGTAACGTTCAATCCGGCTACGGCCTGTGTGCATTCACACTGCGATTTCTCAACACGGATCACATTTTGCACAATGCCACAATGCCTTGCGACGCGCGAATTGCGAAGCGGCCGGATGTATACGACACATTTCAACATGGCTGCGCCCAACAACTCGACCGACGACTCGCTCTTTCTACTTATGTACATGTTTTTGTGCATTCAGAAGAGAAAAAAAGCTGGTGTTGTACAAACTCAGACTCGGCATAGTATGCTGCATCGTCGGAGACGGTTTCGTAGAATAGTCAGGGCACGATTGTCTCATGATCGACTGGTGTTTGTGATGGGGATGGTGGCGGGCAATACCGTCGTGAACCGAGGCGTTTGGTCAACAGTGAAAAGTGATCATTGGTGGCAGCATATTGCGAATCAGGTGGGGAATTGTAAATAATGTCAAGGGAGTATTTTAATCTGGAATCTTCGGAGTTTCGGAAGAAGGAATGTACTGAATGTCTGGCCCTTTTTTCCATGGCCACGCATTGAAGTGGTGCTGAAAGTGAAAACCAAACTGGGCAGTAGGCTACTCCCACACAAAATCTGTGAAATGATGGCATGTGCATGATGATGGCATGGACATGATGCCATTGATGCCTGATGGTGTTGTTCTTAGAGCACAAGCATTCCACTCTCTTTCACGGTCCACCCCAAATTAGGACTTTCCGATGTTGTTTCAGTTTGTGGTGAAATTTGTCCCTTAATTTGACACTGCTTACTTTACCTATGCCTTATTTATAATTTTTATGTAGGCCTAATTTGTATTTGTCAAATTTTGTGCATGCCTTCCACTTTGGTGGGTAAATTAACAATAACAAGGAACCATGAAAATCAAGGTATTAGGTTAGGATTTAGCCTTTTCCTCTAATTTGTTTTTTAATTTGCTTATGAAATATTTTAATTCAACGCAATTTATGTAGGCCTAATGCCATAGATTGTCAAATGAAAGGATTGACTTTTTGCAATTTCAGTAAATTTGTGTTTATTTTTTCCTACCTATTTTGTTTTAAACACTTTTTAAAACTGGGGAAAAAGCTTAATGCAGCATATTTAGACACAAACTGTCCATTCTTAGCCACACATAATACAGGCCCTTGACATTTTCAAATTTGATGTTTTTCAAAGAAATTGATAAATGCAAAATAAGATTTTATAAAAATCATTATCATTGTATCGAACAAAATTTTAATTTGAGAAATTTGTTTGAAATACAGTCGAACCCTGATAGGAAGAGCTCTGTTAATACAACATCCTGCTTATAACAAGCAAAATTTTAGGTCCCAAGTCTTTGTTTTTCTTTGTTTTCCATCACAGTTATTACACGATACCTGTTATAACAAGGTAATTCTGTAAGTCTCAAGGACCTTGTTAGAAAGGTGTTCGACTGTAGTCTTTCAACTTATTTGTTGATATCCATCACAATAAGATAAATATGGTGAAGAAATGCCTAAGGATACTACATTATTTTCATTCATGATACAAAAAAGGGGGGTGTCTTTTAGATTGTAATGTTTCCTTTTCTATATCACATGATCTCCTTAAGGTATTTGAAGATGACGACTGGATACGCCACTTTCGGATGAGACGGGCCACTTTCAGTTACCTGTGTGAACAGCTTCGTCCTGAAATAGAAAAGGCAGACACCCATCTTCGCAAGGCTATAGGAGTGCGTAAAAGAATTGCCATTACCTTGTGGCGATTAGCCACAAATGTGGAGTACCGTACCATTGCCCAGCTATTTGGAGTTGGAATATCAACAGTGTGCAACATCGTTCATCAAACATGCCAAGCAATCGTGTCAGTTTTGACTCCGAAATTAATCCGCCTTCCGAAAGGTGAAGCCCTCCAACAAATCGTAAATGGTTTCGAAACACGGTGGGGATTCCCACAGTGCGGTGGGGCGATCGATGGAACACACCTCCCAGTCCTGCCACGGGGATTCAAGACCGATTTCTACAATCGTAAAGGCTGGTTCTCAGTAGTTCTACAGGGCATGATCGATCACCAATATCGCTTTATGAATGTGAACTTTGGTTTTCCTGGGAGTGTGCATGATACACGTGTTTTTGCAAACTCTAGCATCTTCCAGTTAGGAGAGGCGGGTCAGTTATTTCCGCCTACCACTAGAATGATTGAGGGTGTTGTAGTACCAATCGTTATTCTAGCAGACTCTGCGTATCCACTCCTGCCATGGGTTATGAAGCCCTATCTTGACAATGGCGCACTGACCAGAGACATGAAAACATTCAACTACCGACTGAGCAGGGCCAGAATGGTCACCGAGAATACCTATGGAAGGCTCAAAGGGAGATGGCGTATTCTTATGAAGAGAAATGACACTGACCTGAAGAACATACCCAACCTTGTCATGGCAGTTTGTACTCTGCACAATCTTTGTGAAACTGCAGGAGAAGGGTTTGACGAGGCTCTGCTAGTGGATGTGGCCGAAGGTCTGACGAATCAGCCAAACCAAGACGAAGCTAACCACATGAATGATGCCGAAGAAATTAGAAATGCTCTCAAACAGCACGTGTGTGCAAATCCCCTGTAGTGAAACCACCAAGTTTGTACTCATGTAGATGTGTTGTTGCAAAAACGTTGGAACGCGATTTTCAGTCTTTGTGAGAAAAAGCATGAATATGTTTGCGATCATGCGATGGCTTGATTATCTTTTGTGGTTCATTAAAATAAAAGATAAAGTAACTCAATGAAGATGATTTATTAATTAAGAAACATATCCAATATTCACCTACTTAAGCATTTTTGGCTTGAATCGGATGAGTAGCGAAATATTTTCTTACTACATTCCTGAAAACACCTCAGAATAGAATAGCATGCTTGGTATTTTGCTTTTCCAACTCAAAAATGTTAACAACTCTCAGTAGCACCTTATTCTGTTTACAAATAGTTTCCAGTTTAATTGTTCGTTTATTTCCAATTTCCACAAACTTCATAATTACAAAATAGAAATTACCTTGTCTTATTTTTGTAATTTTGATAATTAGGTTCCAAGAAAACATAATAGTGTCACACCAGTATACTATAATTTTGATGACTCTCGAGAACAACTGTGTGGCAGTTTTCATATAAATGCGCTGAGATACGTTTTTGTTTGCATGCCCATGCTTGTAATAAATCAAAATACCGCCTTATGACTTAAATGAATTTACTTTCGATGAAACTTGTCCTATTTTTCATTTTTATATTCAATCTATGGATAAATCTTAATGAATACACAAAAAGCTGAATTTTGACAAATTTGGCAGTAGCAATGTTTTTTGCACTGACATGATGTAATAAACATGTACATCCCAGATGCTATTCATGTCAAAATAGTTTGGGTTATGTGTATACATGTAGTTGAAAAAAGTAGCAGTCAAAAAGTTGATGGAGCAACGGCGTGTATTAATTTTGCATCGTTTCTACAGCCCCAAACCTTTTTCACTTTAATTTATAAACATTTAAAGGTTGCATAAGTTTATTTTTAACACTATGTTGACACACACATGTCGTTTTCAAACTTTGTTTATTACTGGTAATGCAGAATAATTGCATGGATTGCTAGTAACTAGAATTGAAATGTTCGGTACATGAAAACAATGTATGGAGTAACATAAAAACGATTTTACACAATAATTACTCTAAGCTAGACATAAGTATCAATATCTTCTTGGTAATACTAACTGCACAAATCTTCATTTAAAATATGTTTAAACTTCCATTATGAAGATTTTCTTTAATCTACGTTGAATGCATTTGTATGACTTAAATAGAAAAAAGTATGTAGGCATTTTCAACATTTGTAATTTTGAAAATATGAGTTTGTACTAGAAGTGGCAGTTGACATTAACATGCTACTCATTAATTAAAATACATATGTACTTGGAAAGAAAGTTGCAACCTGATGCTGCTTTTTCTCAATCATCTTTATTAGAAACTAGTAAAGGCTAGCTAACCACTATGACAAAAACACAGCTAAAAACAAAAAGAAGTTTATAAAGTATGATAAAAAAATTAATAAATTGTATGAGGATGACTTAACTCTGCACTCCAGGTGAAGGGTTCTCAATCAATAGCAAATCTACTTGAGTTTTGATGCATCAAGATTCTGACTAGTTACATGGCACTTTATGGAAATTGCACTTTTTTAAATTTTTACTTGTGTTTTCTGGAAAATAAAACTAAAATGGAAAATGTGGCTACAGAAAAAAAGCTTCACCCATAAAACTAATAATGTGATAACAAATCATGTATTACACTTGATGTACATCCCAGTGTGGGGCAAGGTTTAATGGCAATGCTAGAATTTTGAAATGAGATGAATTTTACAATAATACTTAATGCAGTACCCGTAGTAGTTGTTTACATAAATGGAAAATTATTCACCGTGCTATACTGTATTGCAGATGTTCATAATAAGTTAATAGCAAATAAAGGTTTGGTGATTTTGAGGCAAGCATTGATGGCAATGGCAGCATCAATTTGTTACATACACATGACAATACTGTTGTTAGTGGCAAAACACTTGCAAAAAAGTTGTTCATCATTGTTGAAAATTGATACAAAAATTATACCTTTCTTCAAAATGTCTGCAAACCAGGTACTATTATTTTACAGAATGTTTGAGAATTGAGACTTTAGTTTACATACTATATAGTGAGGTATTTCATGATAATTTTCTTTTTTGGATGTTTGTAAATGTTTGCATATTGCCTTTAAAGAGGCACAGTACAGTTACAGTCTCATAAAACTGGTCCCGTTGTCTTCGAAGTGGATAGAACCATCGTGTTGCGGCTGATTCTGTCCCCGGCCAAATTGAGCCATCATTTGGCCCATCATTCTGAACAACTGCATTTCATGCTGTCGTTCCTCCTGTCTTCTTCTGTCTTCTCTGTCCCGCTCTTTTTCTGCCTGCTTTTCCTCCCACAACAACAGATTTTTCATTGTTGCATCTTGCTGAGAATTGAACGAGTGCAACGCACTGCTGAATGCCTCTTCCATTCGACTCGGTTTCACCTTCCTCTTCTTTGATGGGGGACCGGAATCATCCTGATCAGCAGTTTTCCTGCTAGTTCATGGGTTCTGAAAAAAAAAAGAATTAAATGCACCAAAATAAGTTGATGCTACTACTAATCAAGGAACACAACGAAATGGCCACTTTGCATAATAATTCCCTGCAAAAAGGGGATAGGATTAATTTTTAAAATTTATTAAATATCATTAAGCAAAAGTGGGGGGGGGGGGTGGGGTTTGGATTGTCATTAACTTAAAACGTAGTTTAAAAAAGGCCATCATATCAACATATGTGGATATAAAATACCCTCAATTGTTTCGTGTTTTTGATTGTTTTGCATTAAGGGAAGCATGATTCTGACTGGCAATGTACATGTACATGGAAACTTGGAGCAGGAATAAATGTTTCCAATTTTAGGTATTGTTTTATTATTTCACTATACTACTTGTGACCATATTGTGATAAAAGTGTCCAATACATATCATGACAAATGGTTACACCCCTGTTCCTACAAATTCAACTGTCATTAATGATGTCATAGACTAGGCCAGCAGTACACATTTCAGGCATTAATTTTGTGGATATCTAATTTATTAACGTTTGCTCAAGGAATGAAGCCTGGGATACATGATTAAGTCAGTCTAATAATAAAAAACAATGTGAAGACAAAAGTTTTCCATCCTGAAAATCTGATTAATGATTTATACATGAAAATGTACATGGGGATAAAATGATTAATTCTTTAGAAACAACAAGTTATATGCTCTTACGAAAACCATTGTCTCTCACACTGTATGAAATGGCAAACTCTTCTGGTTTTTAGGAAGTAAAGGATTAAGAAGGTTGATAACCCATATGTTGTCCAATTATCCAGGTTGACTTGTCCTTACTAAAGTTGCTAAGTCATGATGGTAGTTGCTTTATTTCACTTTAAAATGAGAGGAATGCAAACGTTTCACAAATAAAAGTTCCGACAGTATTTTCAGACGGTGTTCTGTAAACATTCTAAGCTCCTCTGTAAATTGAGATCGGTCTCTTTGATTTGCCAAACTAAATGTCTAAATTCAACTAGCCTTGGATCCAAGTTGAAATGTAGAATACGCCAACAGGATTTTAAGACAATGAGCGATTTCCCTTGATTTTAGAAATTGCCAAAAAAATTGGGGGGTTTTGGCTTAAATTACAAGAAAAGAAATGTGCAAGGTTTGCTGCACACTTTTTTTAAATGAAATTGCTCACTGTAAGGTAATTAATGTAAGGTCTCACTGAGTAAGACAGTCACACCACTTTCTTGGCCTAGATCCAAGTCAGAATCTGGGATTATTATTGGTAGAAACATAATAACAAACAAGTAAAATGATGACGACATTAGCTAGCTCTGAAAATACAATCATTTACCCAAATTGAATGTATATGTACTTTTAACCATGGGTGTCAATCTTTTACAGGGCCCTATAATGTACTACAATGTATCTTTTGCTAAAAAAGAATCCACAATTTTCGGGGGCCTTAAGCGGGCCCCGAACCCCACGCCTTTAGCTCAGAATATAATAGCTTATTCAATTACTTCAACCTTGAAAATGATGTTTAAATTATTATTTTTTGCTAAGAAAATATTGGTTGAAGTGGTCAGAAATTGCCTCAGATTGCACCACAGAGCATCTAGAATCACTTTTTTTGGGGGGCCCTTAAGCAGCCCTGAACCCCACGCCGTAAGGGCATCGCGTTTCGCGCTCGCATTAATTCTGATCGAGGTATGTCCCACTTTGGAGAAGTGATTGACACCCCTGCTTTTAACACATTGTTGCATCTAAAGAAGTTCTCATGTTCAGAAATGTAAAGTTACGTGAATTCTTATTTAAAGAATGGGTTTCAAGTTAATACAAAAATGTCTTCTGTTTATTACCTTTAACCCTTGTTTATATTGTCACTGTTTTGAAAAAGTCACTAATCTTTGCTCACAGGTGCAAAATCACTTTTTGAGAAAATCACGTTTGAAATTCCGAGTGATTTCTCTTTAAACTTGAAAAATATGCAATAGCCGATTAGTTAAATAGCTCAAAATTGTCTCCGTTTTTATGAAAACTTGTTTGATTAGGAAACATAAAAACAAAACAGAAATGTTACGGAAATGTCACAGGTACGTAGCATTGTGTTTGTACACAGATTCATTGTGTGTGCATGTATAAAAGTTATGCAATTTATAATTAGAATGCAGATTCTTCACGTTATCAAAATGCAAATTTTACAGGCTAAATACATTTAAATATAGTACACGTATAAAATCAATGAGACTAAGTGACGAATAGGGATTCGTCAATTTCGTCAAAATGAAAAGAAAAAAGTTGTCACACATTCACCTCTTTGTGTAATTAGCCTTATTAATGAACAATATAATTTTGTGTCTAAAAATTTTGGAATTATGTACAGTTAGAATATCAAAAAAATCTCAAATTGCTTCGTCATTGATATGTCATAATGTCAAAATGGCGACGATTATATGTAGATAAATTGACACACAATTTTACTGCATTCAAATCAACAGCAGCTTGACTTTTTTTCTGTCCCTTAAAGAAAGCTGGGGCTGTCTTTAGAGGGAAAGTAAAAAAAAAATCTTTGGATTGACACATTTTTTTTAACAAAGCCTTTATCCAAGATTGATGAACCAGTGATAATCAGTTATCAAATTATTTCAAATGAGTCTGCAATTTTAATGATTTTTAGAATTAAAAGGTCAGTTATAAAATCAACTAAATGTGACAATTACCAAACTTTGTACATAGTGTACTATTTCTATTTGTGTGATGGCTATCACTGTTTGATTCTCAAATTGAGAATATTCTACCTCTTATTTCCCTCTCCTTATAAGACCATTTGTTGTAATATATTTTATGGGAAAACTTTGGTATGAAAAACGGTAGGTAATGATAGTTGGTTACAGGCGTTATACATTGTGAGTGGATTATGTGCAATTGTACAATGGGTTTGACCTGACTTCCAAGATGAGTGCTACAATTTATGGCAATGGCAACTTATAACAATAGATGTTTACGATTAACTGTCTGTGAATAACAGCTGTCTACTTCACTCTACTTACCTGTAGAGCAATACTACTTATGCATATTCCCCCTACCGGCTGGTATTTTCCGCTAAGAGTTATATACAATAGCGCCCTCTGGCACCCTACCCATAATACCCCGTGGCATGCGTGCCTCGTGAGCGTCCTCTTTTCTCTTAGCGGCAGGTCAGGTAGGACGTGCGTGAAATAGCTCGCTGTTTGCCTCGTCATTTACTACCCTTTTTTGCGTTTAAGAGAAGTATTTAATAAAAGAGTTAGTAATCATTAGTTTGTAGAGTTTCATCATCTTCTTGGTTTCATTTATTTCATAAATACATGAATGTGTAATTGGCAAAGAAATTCTGCAGTAACCAAGTAATGTGCATAGAATCCTTCAGTTATCAGCAACTGAAGAAAATAAATGTTATGAGAGCTAATCTAATTATGGGGGGAGATACCTATTTCCCAATTTGAGTTCTAGTTGCGATGCGAAAGGAGGTTTTGGATATTTTGGATACCTTGAGAATTTTAGTTTTAACAAAACATGCATGAATATCACTGATTACTTTATATTACTTTGTTGCTGATTTAATTTCATTTTCTTTTGAGGCAAATTAAGTTCCTCTGCTTTTCCATATTCCCTTGGTGTAATCATTCTGTCCTCACACTCGGTGATAGACCTTTACAGACTCTCCTGCAGCCACTACCAGATCACCATCCGATGTGAATGTCATGCCACCTGGATGACCACATCCCTGGATCACACGTCCAATGTACTTGCCATTAGGACTGTAATGCAGAATATCACCTGTCAGGAAAACAGCAACATAGGTACTGCCATCGCTGTCACAGCACACAGTACCAGGGTGCAAAACCCCCTCCATGTTACTTTTCATGTCTACTGAAAATACACTGGCACCATAGATGTCTACACACATCAACCTATTGTTTAAGCCTGTTGTGTACATAATTAGGCGGTTATTGTAGATTGTCAGATAATCTCCAATCATTGGAGCAGGCAGTCTCCTGATGAGGTATCCATCGTTGTATAGGGATATCTCATCCTTGCCCTTGTAACCCACTGCTGTCAGATTGCTGTCATCCGCTGCAAGGCATGTTGGTTGGCTGTCTGACTCTGATTTGTAGAACTGAGTGAGGAGCTGATGTTGCTTGTTGAAGACCTTGACTTCTGAACCATCTAGAGCAAGGAGCTTGACTCTGATTTGTAGAACTGAGTGAGGAGCTGATGTTGCTTGTTGAAGACCTTGACTTCTGAACCATCTAGAGCAAGGAGCTTGTCATCCTTGCTCACTGCAATACACATTGCATCAGTGAGGCCATTGATTTGTAGCTGTTGTGGGATAGGAGATGGTTCCTGACGACTATTGGGAATAGAAACTGTAAATAGTGCATGTCCAAGAAATGTTTTAGATAGTGTAAGTATTTTATTGTTAGAGAGTACTGCAACATGTGTAATAAATGTTTGAGCTAATCCAAAGTTCTTGAATTCAGTCTTCAGTTCCCATTTCTCCTTCACACATGATCTTCCAGGTGTTTGTGATTGCTTTGCTGCAGCCTGTGGCTCTTCCTCCAGAATGAGTCTCCCAAGTGACCTCTCACCTTCTTCAAAGTCCATGAAGGTCAACTTGTCATGAACTTGCTGTGGCTGTTTCCCTGTCAATTCACTGAAGTTATGCAAGAGCTTCTGCTGAAGTTCAAGAATCTCATAGCAACTTGCTTGATTCATGAGTTGTTTCACCTCCTCCAGCTTGTTCTCTGTTTGGGTCACCTCTTTTCTGTTATTGGCTTGAGCAGCTTCAAATGTTGTGACTCTGTCTTTATAAATCCTTTCTGTCTCTTTCATTAATTTCAGTTCTTCCTTTTGGATTTTTGCAACCTCCTGTTGGATCTTTCTAATTTCCTGTTGAGCCTTTTTGGAGATTTTCTTTTGAGTTTTGGCAAACATGGTGTCCAGCTCCTCGCGAGATTTGGACGTCTCTTCTATGGTGGTGCTCAATTCTGTTTTTTTGCTCTCACTTTTTTGGACCATTTCTGTGACCTTCTTCTTACATTTCTCTACTGCCTCAGGTAGTCCAGTGAGTGAGTGTTTTGCATGATCGAGTATAGAGCATGTTGTGCATATGACTTGCTCACATGAGTTGCAGTAGACATTGAGATTTTGATCTGGATGCTTGCCACATTTGGGAACTTCTTCTCTTAGTTTACTCTTGTAGACAATCTCTCCTGAACGAAGTTGAGCCAGTGTGAAGATTTTATGAGATTTCATCAAAGTCATACGCCCATGTGCCTTTTGACATTCTTGACAGAGGAAATGATCACAATCCATGCATCTTGAAATAGCCTGATTCTCCTCATCACAGGCTTGACATTTGATCACTGACCCTTGACCTTCCAGCAGCTTGTCCTGCATTGTAACTTCCTCCTCCAGGGCACTAAATGCAAAGTTATTAGGGAGATCAGCAACCCCAGACCCTTTCAACATGGTTTCATGTCTGCACAGAGGACATGTCAGCTTTGTACCACTAGGATCTTGGCTCTGTCTGAGCTCTTGGAGGCATTGGAGGCAAAAACTATGCAAACAGTCCAGCAGTTTGGGTTGCCTGAAACGGTTGGTGCAGATGGAGCATTCCAGATGATCCACACTAATCTTCTCCAACACTAATTGGGCTGTAACATTAGATGCCATCCTCACTGTTGGGCTTTGTGTGATAGGATGGACGTTTAACCTGCAAATAAAAGGTTTGGAATTACATGTATTCAAACTTCAAATGATGATATGGTTGTATTAGGTCAGATGTAAAGTTGAAAACTTTTTGTCAAGTACATTATTCACAAATTGAAGGTCTATTCACATGCTATATGCTTGTTTTAAAACTGCTGTTGTTTAGTTTTGTTCAAAAGAAAATAGCAATCAGTTGCAGCAAATGTACAATATATGGTTACCTTGTTAAAGGGAATTGTTTCTGCTGTAATATTCAGAAATTGATGTATTTGGTGGTTAGTATTTTGTAGCAAATATTGTTATGTTGACTTTTTTTAAGTTTTGTGTTCGTAGATACTAGAAAAACCAAAAAAAAAAACAATCCTGTTCTTGTTGACTAGTTCCCCGACCCAAAATGATGAAATGGAGCAATTTATAGACGTCAGGGAATTAGATCAGGGAACCAGTCTAGCTTGTTTGTACCCATTCATAGGAGTGTAATTGATTGCAAACTAAATCTGTTAAATTAGGGGTTTGAAAAAAGTCAGTTTTGTCCAATGCTGGTCAGTCGACCAGCATTGGAAATCGATACAAAAATACCACTTTTCTTGAAAATGTCAGCACGTGCCATGATTTTACAGGATTCTTTAGAGTGTCATTCACTAGCAGTGCAGTAAGGTATTTCATAATAATTTGGTAGTTTTGTTTTTTGATGTTTGCAAATGTTGTATATTCCCTTTAATGTAAGAGCATAATTATATATTTTGTCCTGACAAATGCAACATTAAAGAATTCGTTTCAGCTGTTATGGGACATTTTTTACGCCTAAGGTAAATTATAATAAAATTCATAACAAGTCAAACAAAAGTAGGTCACAAGTGAAAGGTTTTCCACTTTGACAAAAAATGCCTTTTGCCACAGTTTTTAATATAAATAGTTTGTGAGTTCACCTGACGAAGAATGACATTTCATTGACTTAATGAGGATGTGGCTTCAGGTCTGAATGAAACAGTTCACAAAAAAAGAATATTTTTTTCTAATACTGGGTTTTGCCCTCACTGACGTAATTTTAATAAACATTGTATACTTGGTGTTGTAAAAAGTTCATGAAAAGAGCACTCACTGTAAAAACTTGGTAAATTTAAAAATTGGGAGTGGGGGCTAGTACCATCTTCCTATGAGGGCACTGTGCAAACCAGACGATCATGGATAATATGTGGCAATTGTCAGGACGGCACGATCGCTGATGGTTGCGTGAAATTTCAAAAAGGGCACTCGTAAAAGGCTGCTGGTAACAAAAAGGGCACTGGTTTAAAAAAAAGGGCACATATTTAAAAAAAAAAATCTTTTACAAAATAGGGGGGGGTGGTAAATGCTGGTGTAAAAAGGGCACTTGTATACGAAAGGTAAGTCTTACTGTTACTCTGGTGGGGCTCGAACCCAGAACCCCCTGTTTAGTAATGCAGTCGTCTTATCACTCCACCTCTGAGCTTGCCTGGGTCAGTTGGGTGGTTTGAGTCAAGGTGGGCAGGAGTTACGGCGATCGTAAAGTGTAGGGCCTGGTTCCTGCAAGGGAACAAAATCCACTTTAAAATTATTGGACCTACCAAACTAGTTGGCAACATTTCTCAATGAACAGGAATGTCATAGATTAAGGACAGGATTTTGATTTTTTTAGTGAAATTTGGGGGTGAAATGACGATGAAAGTGCAACAACAACACATGCCCCAAAAATAATGATGGCGATCACCGCGCGAAGTACCGTGAGTACGCACAGCGCGCTGAATCGCAAGGCATAAACCACGCAGGAAAATCGTGATTTCTACCCCAAGAAACTGTTCAAAATTGCAAAACGGGTGTCATTAGAATTGAGAAAAGACTGCTTTTGATTGTAAATGTGATTTTTGAGCTATAACACATTCTTGACTCTAATTTGATCAAAACAAAACAGGGGCCCTACACTTCATGATCGTCGGAGTTTCTGCAACCCAATATTGCCTGCACCGGAAAAAAAAATATATTTCAAGTACTTAAACTGGCCAATATTTCAATTGAAGACTTGTCAATAAAGTCCACTTTTCTGTAAGAAAAGTGCACTAACTTCAGAAAAAAAGACTTGCCTTCCATCGTTTTGATTTTTGGTTATATTATTATTTTTTTGTAATTTACTCAGCTATACCTGTGCCAAATCTTCTTAAAGGTCTAACACTTGTTTGTAAGAGACTACATGTAAGTACAAACAATGCATGTCACTTATTTCTGTCATGAATATAAGGAGTTTCATGGATTCCACATGTCTGTATTCTAACAGGTTTGACGGATCCACCTGAATTTCCAGTAAATACGTATACACTTGTAATTGGCAAATGCTGAGTTAACATGTACATGTACTGTATATGAGATAATGTGATGCTGTTGATTTATATCAAATGTATAGACAGACAGACTTATAGGTAGACCCACTAAATAAAAAATCTTACCGAATGAGCCATTGCTATCTGCCCATTCTGATGTCACTTACGGCAATGGTTGAAATGAACAAAGATGGCGATCTACTGTATGTATACGCCCCTCTGTATCAACACAGACCATGTCACATGATGTTGAGTACAGTCATTTGCAGTCCCCGGATTCCACTTGTGTAGTGTTTTGGTACGTGCTGCACAAGTAAAATCAAACACAGCATGCGACTGTTTTCTACATCTAACAGATCCAAAGGTCTATAGGCTGTTAATGTTAACAATTTGACAGACAGGTTTATCAGAATAGTAAACAGAAAGAAGCCACAGGGTCAAGTTCTTTGTTCAACTGTTAAACTTTTATTTGATGTTCAAATGTAGGATCAAGGATATGTTTAGTCCTCTCAAGCCAGTAGACTAAACAGGCATTTTTGTCTAGAGTATTGCATTTGAGCATTGACTACTCCCTCTTGTAAGACCAATGCTGCACATACCGGTACTGGCAATTATTCCAAGATTCTTGACAAATGCCATGTAATATGGGCACAACCACAGTACAACATCAAGTATCTTACCTGAATTGAAGTCTTTTTGTTAGTTTTAGAAGAAAATTTGAAACTATCCTTCTGGAAGATGGCGCGCAACATAGACAGTTTACAACGTTTGATGTGTATACAATACACTGTACTTGTTCATGAATGCATATGATTGCACATAGTGCGTAAATTCCCAGTTCTATTTTAAGAAGCTATTGGAGTCCGTGTATACATGTACTGTACCGGATACTTTCTGCTCACATCCGATGCAGGTTTCCTGTTTAGAAATAGCAGCCAGAGTTTCCATGACCCTGGTGCCCCAGCCCACAAAAATGGAATCAGAAGTCACCGATGCTATTTTGGGATTAAACAGCCCTGGTGATTTTCATATTTCAGCCTGAAAAAAAAATGTACAGCATTTTTTTTTGTTCACTTTTGAATAAACCACTGCCCTCAAAACTTGGCTCATTTTGTTATTAATTATATATTATATGTTTCAATCATTTGTTGCCCAATGGTGATTCCGGTTCATGAGAGCATGGAAGAATGTATATTTTATTTTTCTATTATGAGAGCTACAAAAGTAATCCAAAGTAAAATTTTTCCTAGGAGGGTTGCAGATGCAAAATAAAAGGATTGGGTTTTTAGGGGAGGGGGTGGGAGTAAGAATGCAATAGACAGAATTGGGATTTGTCAGGAAAAGAAATCTTTTTTTTAAATTCCGAGGGCAAGGAGCCTTCAAATATAAATTAAGGCTGGTTGGGCTATTTTCATGTGAATATTTCTTTATGTCATCACTTGTCTAGTTCGAGACACTAAAAATAGACAATATATCTACAAAAAAGGGGAGACTTGACATGAGTACAGTACTTCTTAAGAATTGCAACTTTGTTGTCAAATAACTTTCAGCTCAAGTCTAAGATTAGGGTCTGAAAGTGATCTTGTGAAACTCATCATTAAATGAGTGCTCTTTTCGAGTTTTACCTTGAAATCAAAGATTTTACCAAGGAAACAAATCTTTTTGGGAATTTCTCTTTTTTTATTTACTCTAAATGATACATCAAATGGAGAAAATTTCTCCCCCAACATTCAGTTTTGGAAAAATTACCCAATAAATTATGAATGATTTGCCATCAGACCATGATTAGCTCCTCGTATGTTTAACTGGTTCCTAGCTGTCCCTATCGCGATCAATAATGTAAATGCTAGGAAGGAGTCTCCTTGCATTGTGTATTTGTTTGTGCACAAAATTATTCCAAAATAAAAGCCTTTTAAAGAGGGTTGCAGCTGCCCAAAAATAGAAATTTCACGTAAAAAATTAGCACAAATTTTATGTGACGTATTGAAAATTCATTCAAATATGGTTTCCCTTTACAACAAAAGACAAGCACCCAATTGACAGAAGGGCAAAAGAAATAATTAGGTTGGACTACAGAATGATTAAATAATTCTTGATTCAATATTTGAATTAATTAAACTGTTCAAATCCAAAGAGATTTAAATGTCTCCATCAAAATCCACAATGAAAATCAGGCCTCAGATTAAAACCAGAGTGGGATTTGCCCAGTCATTGACTATATCGAGCAACTTTCTGTTTCACAATATCAGTTTACAATTTCAGGAAAACATGCAAATTAAACCAACTATAAAATTACACGAAGATCCATTTCAACATATGTTGAGTTCACTGCTGTGAACAACCATTACAGATGTTACGTTTTAAGGTATACATTTTCACGACACAGTGATAAAAGTCTGTGAAGTTTCTTGCAAGAATTTAGTGGAATAACTATGTTATGGTAGATAAAGGTTCACTCTATAAAAACACCAATGAAATTTTCATGTTATGGAAACATCATCGAATGTTTGTGTTGCAAAGAATACACAACATTTGCTTTCCTGTAATTTTCAGAAACGATGGATTTGGGGTTTAGTATTTATAGCAAATATTGTTACACTGTCTTGTTTGAAGTTTTGTTTTCGTAGATGCTGGAAAAACCAAGAAAAACAATCATGTTCCTGTATTCTGGTTTCTTGACCCCACTTAAGATAAAACGGAGCAAATTATAGATGTCAGGGAATTGTATGAGGTCAAGGAACCAGTCTAGCTGGCTTCTACCCGTTCATAGATGTGTAATTGATTGCAAATTACAAAATTCGGACTAACTAAATATGGTGAATTGGGGGAAGTTTTTAAAAAAAAACTTAAAAAAAACAACAGTTTTTCCCATTGCTGGTCAGCCAACCAGTGTTTAAACTGTTAAAAAAATACCACTCTTCTTAAAAATGACAGCACACCAGGTGCCATGATTTGAGAGGACGTTTTAGACTGTCTTCACTAAGGCCAAAAATAAAGCTCCGGTTTCTGGTCTGCGTGCGCGTCGCCGTAGCCATGCGCGTCGGCAAAATTAAAAAGTTTTTTTTCCATGTAAGATGATGTCTTAAAACCACCAAACTCACTGGTTTGACTGGAATCCTGCTGCTGCACAATTTTTACATGTTTTAGATGGGGTTAAGATCGAGTATTTAAGCTTGATGTGGCCTCTCTAGGCTCCTTTATGTTTTGCACTAAATTTAGTCGGGCACCATTTGCAGTCGTCAGCCGACATTTGAAGAAGAAAAAAAGTGGAAAAACAGCCACATTGCAGCACCACTTTTGGGGCAAGCTCCATACCAGAAACCAAAGACTTGTTTTTATAAAATAAGGTATTTTATAATATTTTGAAAATGCTCAATACAAAAATAAACACAGATGACCACTATTATTTACAGTATTGTATTGGACGTTTTATCCTTTCCCCCAGGCCAGGCCTATGTCCCCAAAAGTAATGACGATGATTCCAGCTCCTGGGGTTCCGACACTAACATCCCCTCTAGAAGGACCAAGACCGCGTGGTCAGCGACGCCGAGATGCGACACATGACGCTAACCAGACCGGCTAAGGTTGGTGCTTATTGGGTCAGTCAATACTGAACACCATTACCACACTGCAAAAACAGATGGATAAGCAAGACCCTGTGGAGGAATTCAAGCTGACTCTGAGGTAAAAGTTTGGCTCAGTGATATTTCAAGAACTCACAACTTAAAAAGTCTAAAAAAAAATTCATGAATGTCTGTAGTCTATAGAACTTCAAGTGAGGTTATCAGATCTTCCCATTTTCGTATCTGCAAAGCAGAATGTATCAGAATACAAGGGATTTATTTCAACCAATTGTTACTGACAACAAACCAAATTTTGCAATCGATCAACAATAGCTAAATGTAATACCAGATTGTTTTGCCAAAAATGTTTTGTTGAGTCAGTGAAATGTGACTCACCAGTGACATGTCCCCGATGTCTAGTCTGAGTCATGAGTTGAGTCATGAGAGCCAAGTTTGAGTCATCATCCATTGTAACTTGAAGTTAAGTCTGAGAATTTGCAACTCAAGTCAAACTCAAGTCTGAGTCACAGACTCAGTTCTATATTTGTACCATACTGTTACATGGATATGTTGTCCATGCACTTGCTGAAGATGAATATGCAAGCGATTAAGTCAGCCAAAGATAACTTGATTCGTAATTTAAGTCCAAGCTCGAGAGAAAAAAATCAATGTAATGTGTGTCGTCTGTCAATTTGTTCACTTTGAAATGTAGGTGCTATATGAAATGTCAGTGGCAGTCAACTGTGAGGAAGCCAAGAAACCTGTCTGCAAAAACAAGAACAGATTCCCCAATGTACTTCCATGTACAGGTAAGTTCATTGTGTAGAAGTTAGTAAACTTTCAAATAATTCAGCGGGTGCCTTGTATATCGATTCTTTGGTAACCCGTTGTCATGTACATCTAGTAAAACTTAGACACAACATCTATTACACTTTTATGTTTTGAATTGTGTTTGCAAAAATAGCCAGTATCAAGCGGCCTGTAATGATAATGTAATGTGCAAACTTCCTGTGACTTTGAATTATCATCACATAATATTTAAATAACGCGTGTAATGACAATGCTCTCTTGCACCATAACGTCTTGCCCACAATGAGCGTTTCTCCCATGCTAACAGTTTAGAAATCCAAGGTCGGTTTTTATTGGATCGCTATGTTCGCTGTTGTATTACAAAAACATGGCATCAAAATTGACCAATAAACAGCTTAGTCCAGATTTCGGTATGAATTGATGTCATGTCGATCATGGCTGGCGCGCGGGGTTGCATACATTTGCATGCGTAGATATATCAGACGTTGGGCCATAGACAGAGAGGGTGATACAACGGGTGATACTCAGACTAGTGTTAAGGCTTCATTCCTACAAAACAATTTTGTATTTCAATTTATTAAAAAAAGAGTGGACAGCAACATTAGGCAATTAAAGGGGGTTGATACCATTCAAACCTTTTTTTTTGTAACTAGTGTCAGTTGTAAATATTAAGGGACTGTTAAACCTGAGGTGATATTAGAATTCCATGTTGCTGTGTACCTTTCAGTGGCATAAATATGGGGCACATGTGTGTGGTCCCCCACCCCAACACTTTTAACAATTGCACATGTTACCTTCTGTTCATCCCTCAAAAAAATAATTGTTGAACCCCCAGGTGCCCTCTAGAAGCTTAACTCTAGTACTACTGGTACCTTTAGACAGTACCAGATGCTGATCGGCAAAATAACAGACTTTGGATCTTTGCTGAAATGTCATTGTTGTCATGGAAGCTGCCTTCTCTTGGAGAGATGCTCTTCAATTGAAGGAAATGCTCATTGCTTCATTTAGACTACTTGGTCTATCAGCATTTGGCAAACCAATTAGAATTCCATGTTGCTGTGTACCTTTCAGTGGCATAAATATGGGGCACATGTGTGTGGTCCCCCACCCCAACACTTTTAACAATTGCACATGTTACCTTCTGTTCATCCCTCAAAAAAATAATTGTTGAACCCCCAGGTGCCCTCTAGAAGCTTAACTCTAGTACTACTGGTACCTTTAGACAGTACCAGATGCTGATCGGCAAAATAACAGACTTTGGATCTTTGCTGAAATGTCATTGTTGTCATGGAAGCTGCCTTCTCTTGGAGAGATGCTCTTCAATTGAAGGAAATGCTCATTGCTTCATTTAGACTACTTGGTCTATCAGCATTTGGCAAACCAATACTTATTCGAACAAGAAAAAAGCCTCAATCATTGATGGAAGTAACTTAACTACATATATTATTGTAATTGATAATACCAGTAATTGTCATAAGGAACCTTTCACAAGTAGGTCATTCTATACATTATAGAGTCCAAAGTAACCTCCGAAATTTATCATTTGCCATTCAAGCAGTGGCGTCAATCGCTTCTCAAAAGTGGGGCGTGACATACCTTGATCAGAAATAATTGGGTGTGCAAAGTGCGAAGCCCGTTACGGCGTGGGTTGCGGGGCCTGCTTAAGGGCCCCCAAAAAATTCGGATTCTAGATACTCATGTGGTGTGATCATTCCTTCCTCCATGATGTGACCTGAGGCAATTTCTGACCACTTTAACCAATATTTTCTAAGCAAAAGATAATGATATAAACATCATTTTGGAGGTTGAAGTCATTAAATAAGCTATTATATTCTCAGCTAAAGGCATGGGGTTCGGGGGCCGCTTAAGGGTCTGGAAAAAATGATTCTAGATGCTCAGTGGTGCAATCTGAGGCAATTTTGGACCACTTTAACCAATATTGTCCCAGCAAAAGATAATAATTTAAAAATCATTTTAGAGGTTGAAGTCATTGAATAAGCTATTATATTCTAAGCTAAAGGCGTGGGGTTTGGGGCCCCGAAAATTTTTGGATTCTAAATGCTCTGTGGTACGACCTGATGCAATTTCTGACCACTTTATCCAAAGTATTTTCTTAGCAAAAGATACATTGTAGTACATAATAAGGCCCTGTAAATGAGGCACGAGTTAAAAAATCTGGGGGGGGGGACATTTGACATTGTGTCCCCCACCCTTCACAAAGTGGGGGGGGGAAACATGTCCCCCTGCCCCCCCCCCCCCCCCCCCCCAGGATTGCTGCCCATGCATTCAAGTGACATTGAAAATGACTTCAAACTAATTAATATTTGTTGGGTAGGTCATTTGATTCACAGAAGCATTCTTGTACTTTGCCAAACAAAATAATGCATTCTTCGAAAATTGAATTGCCCTCTTGTTGTAATACTTTCCCTATTGTTGGTAATACTTTATGAAAAATGTGCACTCTGTCCTATTTGCAGACAATGTGAAGGGTCATTCCTTTGCTCTCGTTATTGGGCCACCAGATCGAGGATTATATAGGAAGTAGGCTGGGTGTTGAAGTCCAAGATTTTCTAAAGGGGAAGTGGTTAAAGTATTAGAGTCAACACATACAGACAGCAAAGACCTTAGCAATAAACCAAATATACAGTATTGTAGAATGTTATTTGAGGGAATGAACTTTAAAGTTCTTTGTCAGTGATAACAATGTCCAATGCCTGATGGAAGTGGTTGGTGGATACGCTGGATAGCCCCAGTTGAATTAATCTGTCCTTACACTCGGTGATAGACCTTTACAGATACTCCTGCAGCCACTACCAGATCACCATCAGATGTGAATGTGATGCCATGTGGATGAATACAGTCCTTGATCACACATCCAATGTACTTGCCATCAGGACTGTAATGCAGAATAACACCTGTTGGATGTCCGAGTACAGCAACATATATGCTGCCATCACTGTCACAGCACACACCTTTAGGGTACAAACACGCCTGCACGTTGCTGATCATGTCTACTGAGAATACACTGGTACCATAGTAGTCTACACATACCAACCTTTTGGTCAAGCCTGTTGTGTAGATAAGGCGATAATTGTACATTGTCAGATAATATCCCATCATTGGAGCAGGCAGTCTCCTGATGAGGGATCCATCTGGGTTGTGTAGAGATATCTCATCATTGCCTTTGTAACCCACTGCTATCAGATTGCTGCCATCCAATGCAAGGCATGTTGGTATGCTGTCTGACCCTCTACCTGGTGTGAACTGATGGAGGAGCTGATGTTGCTTGTTGAAGACCTTGACTTCTGGACCATCTAGAGCAAGGAGCTTGTCATCCTTGCTCACTGCAATACACATTGCATCAGTGAGGCCATTGATTTGTAGCCTTTGTGGTATATGAGGTGGTGCATGTTGGCTATTGGTCAGTGATACTGTGAATAATGCATGATTGAAACTGTCTAATACAAGTATTTTATTGTTAGAGCATGCTGCAGCATGTGCAATGTGTACCCATGTTAGTTCAAAATTCTTGACTTCAGTCTTTAGTTCCCATTTCTCCTTTACGCATGATCTTCCAGGTCTCAGTGGTGATTGCTTTTCTGCAGCCTTTGGCTCTTCTTCCAGAATGAGTCTGCCAAGTGACCTCTCACTTTCTTCAAAATCCATGAGGGTCAACTTGTCAGGAACTTGCTCTGGCTGTTTCCCTGTCAATTCACTGAGGTTATGCAAGAGCTTCTGCTGAAGTTCAAGAATCTCATAGCAACTTGCTTGATTCATGAGTTGTTCGACCTCCTCCAGCTTGTGCTCTGTCTGTGTCACCTCCGTCCTGTTCGTTGCTTGAACAGCCTCGTAAGCTTTGAGTTTGTCTTGATAAATTGTGTCTGTCTCTTTCAACAAATTCTGTTCTTCCTTTTGGATCTTTGCCATCTCGTTCTGTATCTTTGCAATCTCCTGTTTGAGCTTTGTAATCTCATGTTGAGCCTTTTTGGAGATTTTCTTTTGAGTGTTGGCAAACATGGTGTCCAGTTTCTTGCGAGATTTGCACGTCTCCTCGATGGTGGTGCTCAATTCTGTTTTTCTGCTCTCACATTTTTGGACCATTTCTCTGACCTTCTCCTTGCATTTCTCTGCGGCTTCAGGTAATCCAGTGAGTGAGTGTTTTGTATGATCAAGTACATAGCAAGTTGTGCATATGACTTGCTCACATGAGTTGCAGTAGACATTGAGATTCTGATCTGGATGCTTGCAACATTTTGGAACTTCATCTCTTAGTTTACTCTTGTAGACAATTTGTCCTGATTGAAGTTGAGCCAGTGAGTAGATTTTGTGAGATTTCATCATCAAGGTCATACGCCCATGAGCCTTTTGACATTCTTGACACAGGAAATGATCGCAGTCCATGCATCTTGAAATAGCCTGATTTTCCTCATCACAGGCTTGACATTTCATGTCTGACCCTTGACCTTCCAGTAGCTTTTCCTGCATTGTAACTTCCTCCACCAGGGCACTGAATGCAAAGTTGTTAGGGAGATCAGCAACCCCAGACCCTATCAACATGGTTTCATGTCTGCACAGAGGACATGTCAGCTTTGTACCACTAGGATCTTGGCTCTGTCTGAGCTCTTGGAGGCATTGCAGGCAAAAACTATGCAAACAGTCCAGCAGTTTGGGCTGCCTGAAACGGTTGGTGCAGATGGAGCATTCCAGATGATCCACACTAATCTTCTCCAACACTAATTGAGCTGTAACATTAGATGCCATCTTCACTGGGTGGTTTGATGCGATAGGGGTAGATAGACCTTTTATCTGAAAATGAAGCACATTAATGTAAAGGTTTTGGATTTACATGTATTTTAACTTCAAATGATGATATGGTTGTAATAAGCATTGATAGGTTACAAAACTGCACCTGCGCAAACCGGCAAAATCAAACTTGATAATGAAATTCCAACTCATGTTTCTTCTCAAAAATCCTCTGGGGCACATACTTCATAAAGAAATGTTTATTCTTGAACAAAGAAATATGAAGAGAAAAATATACAAAAGTCGTCTGATCTTGAACGGGTTGCGAGCAGGATAAACACACAATATCCACTTCACCAGGCACAGTGTTGCCCATATGCCTGCTGTATTTCTAGCAAAACGCGGACGTGTGGCTGAAGAATCTTTTAATAGAGAAATTGACGCTTTTCAGGCTGTGTGATGATGTTGTACAAGTTAATTTCATACTTTTTTTTAACAATGCCAATGCATTAGGCCTGTAACAAGTTTGGCAGAAATATTGCCCCATAAATGTGGCCAATTTACCGGACTACCTCTGTAAATAAAGGCCACACTTCGTTGATGTTTTCACGAAGTGACAAAAGCCTCCAAAATCGAATTTGGCTGAGTTTCAAGAAAAAGCGAAATATTGTTTACTTACAAACATTTGACAAAATGCCTAAAATAAGTGTTTTCTGTTTTCACGAAGTGACACAAACTTAACTCGTTAGCAGGGCCAGAGGAATAAAGCATTTCTCTACACACACTTTAGGATGGGATTGGACGGGATTGGACGCGCACGCCGTGAACGAAGTTGATAAAGAACAGACTCGCGCGCGCTGCAGTGACGTCAGACGCGCAAATGTAACAATTCCTTAGAACGTTTTATGTTTTCACAAAGTGACACAGAGTGTGTACAAGTTAATGGGACAAAATAGTGAGGCCTCTGTGTTTTGCTGTTTTCACGAAGTGAAAAAACTTTTATTGATCTTTATTAATTAATTACAGTTTAATTAAGAGAGACTCCTAATAAACAACTTTGAATTAGCACAGAACAAAGCATACGTTACTTGACAATACAAGAATTTCTTAAATTCATAACCAAAAACTAGTCGAAAAGGTGTTTTGAAAAAAATGATTAACTTCAAAGGCGATTATCTCGGAATGACCTTTTTGCATAATATCGAGGTTTTTGTCACTTCGTGAAAACACCGACAACTTGGAACATGTTTCCGAAAATGTAAAACTTTTTCAAATTTGGATTTTCACATATAGAATTTATTTGTAGTTTATATACGGTTTACATCAAAGCATACTCACCCTTTTTATAGTGATAGAAAATTAGTCTCCCCTTTTCAGACATTACATTTCGTGTAATCTCGTGTTGGAATTTAGATATGCAAACGTGTGCAAACGAACCTGGAAATTTCAAACAAATACAGATGTCTGAAACAAGGGGACTATTTTCTATCGCTATAGTATAAAGAGGGTGAGTGTGCTTCTAAAACATAAATAAACTACAAATAGATTCTAAATGTGTAAACTTGACAAAGTTCTACATTTTCAGGTACATATTCCAAGTGTGGCCTTCATTTACGTAGGTAGTGCAGTAAATCGGTCACATTTATGGTGCTAGCCAAAATATAAAATTAACAATTGGCCAAATGTTGATTTTTTTTTTGTTCTTCATTTTGCAAAGAATTTGGTTTTTAAAAATCAGATCTGCAATCCAAAAAATAAAAAATGTGGCCTAAAATATAACTTGTTTACATATGAACAGGAAAAATAGGACTTATCCATTGATTGGTACTTTGTATGTGTGCTGGTTTAACACACTGCTCATGCCCAGACAGCAAATGTACATCGGTCCGACGTCGGATCAACGTCAAACATTGACGAAGGACACGTTGGACCAATGTCAGACACTAACGGCGGTTCAACGGCAACTTGCACTGCTGATTCACGTTGGCCCAACATTGTTTGTACGTTGGTATGAACGTTGGACGCCCTTCCATTTTACTCAATTTCCGACCTTATTTTTTATGTCAAATCAACGTTGTTTTTACATTGGCGTTAGACGATGGATAGACGTCTTTTTGCTCAATTACAAACGTTGTTTTCACGTCATATCAACGTTGGCCCAACATTGTTTGTACGTTGGTCTGAACGTTAGGAAAACGTCATTTCACTCATTTTCCGACCTTATTTTTGCGTCATTTCAACATTGTTTGTACGATGGCGTTAATGTTGGATAAACATCATATGTATCGCTCAATTCCAAAACATATTTTCTTCATCAGACCAACATAACCGGAAATTAAAATTCTTAATAAAATAATACTTATAACAAGCATGTCAACGTTGACCATTACGTACGATACCTTTTAAGTTCAATAATTTTGAAAAAAAAAACTTAAAGAGAAGCCAGCACAGACATGAGCTCTAATCCATTTTTCGAAGATTTGTGCAGGTAAATGACATCAGGCCGTCGTGATGCTGTCTTTGATGGTGCAGGTTGCCACGGGTAGTAGTAGTAGAAGGGCTTAGGTAGTATGTCTCTTCTCCATCACTTGAACGAAGCAGAGATCTGGAAAAGAAAATGAAAGCAATAATTAACTTTTTTGTATACGAACACATCTGTTTTATAAATAAAGATGACTTGTAACTGTTAAAAACACAATTTTTCATGTTAGCCAAATCCAAGTGCACATCAATTTTACTTTTAGAAAGCTTGACCTCCCCCTAAGAGGTTCCTTTTTATATATATTCTAGTCCCACGACTTTGGCCTATTTCATTGTATTTTCGAGTAGTATAATGGGGGAGTATGTGGTGCCATCAACTTCAAACAATTTGGGGATTTTTTTTCCTTTAAATTGTAACTCCCCCCCCCCCCAAAAAAAAAATACTGTGAGCCCCCCATCCCAAGCAAAAGCCTGGGTGTGCTTCTCATTTTATTAACAATTAATTTTAGAGTTCTAAGTTATCAATGATCAAAGTGTACATTCTCTTCTCATGTTGAGATGTGGGTAAAATTGACGGATTTTTTTGAACATGAGTTCTCAATTAGATGCTTCAGCCATTCAGTTTTCTTGCTGGTAAACCAGCTGATCGCACTGTTATAAACACAACGATATTTTGTTTTACAATGACATGATTTTCAACCGAGTTAATTTGTTTTGGTGAAATGATTTCAACCGGCTTTTCAAGTCAAAAGTTACAAGTTTTAAAGTCAAAAGATACAGTTGTTTCTAAATTCATGTTCCACTATGAAACGATAAGCTTGGAAACGATGATGGAAATCGGGCAAATCATGCATGACTGCTGATTAGCTTACGTCTCCAATGTTTCAATAAAGGACACTGATAGTGTAGCTTTGAGAATGAAATACGAATTGACCTTGAATTTTAATTTTACAACTTTAGGGAAACTGTATTCTAGACATAAATCAGGATGACCTTTCAAGACTACCCAACACTGTCCTCAAAAGAAATTGCAACTCCTTCCATGGTAACTCAGGAACAGTTGTTTGAAACTTACCTTTTCAGTAGGCCTACATTGCAAGGGCCGCTCATAAAACAAGTACAATCTTGACAGCTGCGGTGCTAGCGGTTCAATCGAAAACGACAGTGTATGTGCTTGTTCCATGTATCTTGCGGGTCACAGTATCTTAAAGCTTGAGATCAGCTGGGAACGTCAATCGCAGAACACAATCTTGACAACAGAAGACGATTAGCATTGAAACGGTGCACAAAACTTGTTCATTTTGGGCCACCACGTCTACAGACATGACATTCTTTTCCCACAGCAGTTTTAACGGATATTCAAACTTGTCAGATGCAACTATAGCAGCTGATGGTTCGCTTCGAATTCACACTGTCTGCAGGGCATACTCTCTAGTACTGGCTGTCACGCGCGCCCAACAGACATGCACGCATTCCGGTTTTCATCGACCAACAAGGTTACGTGGAGCGCATGCACACAGGTGCATGCGCACTACTGGACACTACCAGCATTGGCACACAATGTCTTAAAGACATCATTTAACGGTCGTTATCTATAGTGTGTACTACAGCGGCCGTGGGCAAAAAGCCCAACATCTCAAAGACGTCTTTCTTCCTGGCTCCGAAGACGTCGTGTGACATGGGAGTGCTGACCATAATTTGACGTCCTATTGAGGTCAGATGTGCAACGCAAGACTGATGTCACAGTGATGACCATACAACGGTGACGTCCAAATGACCTCTGATTAGCCAGGCCAATCTGACGTCGAACTGGTGACCATAAGTTAACGTCCAGCACACGTCAGATTTGCGACTTTGAGACTGACGTGTTGACTTCAAATAATGCGACGTCCTACTGACGTCATCAGGTTTCCGACGCCACTATGGCGTCACAGTGATGACTGTATTCAACGTCAGATTAGCGACGCCAAACCGATGTGACAATAATCTGACGTTAGTTCGTCTCAAGATTTCGACGCCGTGCTGACGTAATGTGATTGACTTTATTTGACGTCTTACCAACGTTACAATCCTGACGCCCTACCAACGAAATATCTTCAACGTTAGACAGACGTCATGATGACTAAAAAGTCTGACCTGTTGCCGACGTGATGTGATGACCTTGATTTGACGTCTTATTAACGTTATAGTTCTGACAGCTTACCAACGTTAAAGTTAAACAGACGTTATGATGACCAAAGTGTTCAACCTATTTTCGACGTAAGGCAAATAAGGAAATCTCTGACCCATTCCAGACGTCCGACCGACGTCGTACGCCCACGGGCGACGTCGCCGACCTTTGCCATCGTCGGATTAACGTATGCTTGCTGTCTGGGTGGTGCATCAGAGAAAGAAACTGAAGTACAAAGTGGTAGTCAAATGTCTGCACAGATTCCTATGCCAATTGTGGTTGCATTTGTTAAGCTTATTCTCAACTAAACATACCTGAATGATGTTAGAAGATATTTCTGCAATCAATTTGGCAGTTTGATGAAGAA